TTATTTATTAATATATATATATATATATATATATATATATATATATATAAAGCCTGTAACAAACTTTTTGTTTTTTTGTTAACTATGTTGTTCTTGGTCTTTTCATCTTCTCTACACCTATAGAGAGAGCTGCTTTTCAGAACATTTAATTTGCAAAAATTTTTGTAGCGGTGGCTACCTGCACTTCTTGCAGTTGTTTGAGATTCTTGTCATTAAAGATGGGCTATCAAAGGAGTTGAACCAATGAAATTCATGATTTAAGTAGTCCACTTAAATCATGAATTTCGTTGCTTCAACTCCTGAAAAAATACTACATGTACTATAGAAATTACATCTTCAGGGTATGTATCAGAACTTCTTCACTAATTACCTTCGCCAAGAAGGTTGTGTTTTGCATAGCATTTGTGTTTGCGTGTGCGTGCGTGTGTGTGTGTGTGTGTGTGTGTGTGTATGTGGTTTAGCACAATAACCCAAGAAGCTTTAGATGGATTCATCATTGTCATGAAACTTTGTGAGTAGGTCTTAACTAGACATAGAAATGATTAGATTTTGGGCCACTGGGCAGCTGTACTAGGTACTGCAGGAGAACTTCCGGTTTTGGTATCTCGTGATCTAGATATGCTAGTTTTTTGTTGCTTTTTCCCAGCTCCTCCGGAGGGCCCACTTCCCGCAGTGGACACCGTATGGTCTCCGTGAAGCGACAACTGGTGGTGTTTGGTGGTTTCCATGACAACATCATGTACGTCATAAAGAGAAAGCACAAATTTTGTGAGAAACTTGAATTTATGGCATTTGTTTTATCATACAAATGTACAGTCTTGACACTCTGATTCTTAAAATAAGTGTGTCCCTGTGAAAATATACGGAAAATACAGTTAAAAGAACTGTTCTTATAGTTATACCTACATGTAGTGTCAAATTTAAGTGTTACCACATTGCATAACAGGTCTTCTTTTGTGTAAATGATCCTCAATTCATGGTGTACCCAACAAGCCCAATTTCCCTCTCTGTTTCTTCAGCTTTCCCCTCCTGGTGGCCATTAGATATTCAACCTTTTAGAAGAAAAAAAAACAGAATTGATATCAGATTAAAAACTTGGAAGATTGGATTTTTCTTCAGTGGGGTCATGTGGCGTAGTGGTAGCGTCTTTGGCCCGGAACCAAGAGGTCCCGGGTTCAAACCCCACCTTGTCACCGATCTTGTGCCCTTGAGAAAGGCACTTACACTTTCCTCACTTCACTCAGGTGTAAATGAGTACCTAGCTTTGGTTAGGGCCGTCCCTCGGATAGGACGTTAAATGGAGGTCCCGTGTTTGGGGAGAGCCATTCCCCACGCATGTTAAAGAACCCACCGCATTTATCGAAAAGAGTAGGGGACCTTCCCGGTGTGAGTGGTTCAAACCTTACAATCCGGTCTTACGCAGCTTGTACTTACATGTACAAAACTGGTGTTACGCCTAAAAGGCAGTTTACCGATTGTGCGAAACAAACAAAACATAAACAAAACAGGTGATCTTTAACTTTTCTCCCCACAGAAACTATCAGTACTTCTGTGACGTGTACACCTTCAACCTGGACACGTACCAGTGGTCGAGACTCAGCACCTCGGGCATTGGCCCTTCCCCACGCTCCGCCTGCCAGCTCATCCCAACTCCTGACGGCTCCGTCATCGTTTACGGAGGTTACAGCAAGACCAAGGTGAAAAGAGACGTGGACAAAGGGACAGTACACTCAGACATGTTTGTACTCAGTCCCGAAAGTAAGTTTCATTTTTGCAATTTTTTAAATGTTTACCAAAGAAAAACATATTGTTTTTGCTCTGTTTTTTTTTTTTCGTTCCAAACACTGACCTGGTCAATTGCCTGAACCAGACCGTCTGTCACCGTGGTAACTGGTGTTGGGTTACATCATGTTGCAATTTTATAGTAGGAGGGATTTAGACTCCTGTCACAATGTATGTGAATGTTTTTGAGTAAGAATTAACAGAGCAGACCATATGCAAAAGTATACATTACATTTGCATAATTTTATTTTTATTTATTCTCACAAATTAGTAAATGGTAAAATACATAAAATATATACTGGGTAAATTACTAATACAGAAGTAGGCAACATGCAGGGGTAGAAAAAAGCCTTACTGGCTTGTACTTGTTCTTGTTCATTTCACTTAAACAACTAATTCGTTTAACAATTAGATTCTTGACAAATCAAATGATAATATGTAATGATGAAGAGAAGATCAAATAATAGCTGACAACATATGACTTATACAATGATAATTATAATTATAACTGACTATATCAATATGAATTATTATAACACAATGTAAGAAAGGATCAATTCAGTTACAAACATACAGAGGAAAAGAAAGAAAAACAGAAAGCAGACCACCATCGATGCTTCTATTCTGTTGTACATGTTCAACATTTGGTTTAAAACAACAGTATTTATATTCAAATCACTAGTTTGGCATTTTGCCCCCCTCCCAGTCTTGCATACTGTAATTACTGTTTTTTTCACAGAACTTTTATGTTCACTGTTTTCACTGTCACTTCTGTACCAGAAACTTATCATTACAGTTAATAAATAATTCCTGGACTTTCTTTTTCCTGCACCTGTCGTCATTGGGAATGTATAGTTCTGTGTACATGTCCACTTTTGTCAGACCGTTAAATTTTGCTACCGTGAACATAAAGTGAATTACAGTGCTGTATTCCAACTCTAGACATGTCTGCATCTAGTGTCTAAGAGACAGCCTTTTGTGTTTTCCCGCTTGCTTGCATTGGGGGTAAGCGCTCGGCGCTTTTAAGTGTTGTTTGCAGTAAGTACAAGTTGAAGGGTCGTGTTGATGACACAGTACCAGTGTCAGGCAGCTCTCTGCTTTGTGAAGGTTGTTTTGACAACAACAGACAATGCTGATCAAACAGACAGTTGGTATGTTTAGTCGCGGTAGGTCCCCTTGTACAATGTTGTTACTGTTATAGTTAAACACTGCTAGCATGGGACTTAAGGCCAGACAGACTGTAACATTTTACACATATGTTTGTATCGGTAACAAGTACATGTATATACAATGTATTTTGTACTTGAAACAGCCACTGGGGGATTATTCTTTCTTGTACATTGATGCAGGTTTAATAGACATCAATGTAAACAATGCACACAGGCAATTCAAACTCTACTACATTGTACTGGATAAGATATGGGAGATGACTTCCGAACATTTTGAGTGACATACACAACTTTCAGTCAATCAGTGTCAGTATTCTTCTTGTAATTATATACACAATGTAGGTAAAAACTGGATGTCTGTTCCTTTATGCAGCTTTCAATGTGGGAGGCATTCATCTTATTAACTACATTTATAAGAACACTGAAGTACATTGTAGCAGATCCACCTGACGAGACCTACATGTACATGCATCAGTTCCGGATGCCCGCAAAAAAATAAAAATATTGATTGATTAGCAGTAGCCAATGGGCAGCAGGGAGAAGGTTAACAAAGAAAGTTAGAAAAGCTATTTCTGTGTTGTTACAATGTGTTCCTTTGAAAACCTAGAGGGTTCTACAACAGAGGGAGCACCACAGAAGTGGAAGTGGGCCCAGGTGAAGGCGTCGGGTGTAAAGCCCAGTCCGCGCTGTGGTTTCTCCTCCTGCGTCACCGCCACAAACCGCGCCGTCTTCTTCGGTGGCGTGCAGGACGAGGAAGACGAGGAGGAACTCTCCGGAGACTTCTTCAACGACTCTTACACGCTCGACCTGGAGAACAGAAAGTGGTTCCTCACAAACTTGAAGGGAAGGAAGTCTTCCAAGAAAAGAAGAAGAAGGGCTAAGAAGGACAAGGAAGAAGCCAGTGCAGAGAGTGAGGAGAGTGAAGATGATTCCAGAGAAAGGGAAGAGGAAAAGAGTGGCAGTGATTCAGAGGAGGAGGAGTCCGTACCAATGGTGCCCACCCCCAGGATGAACACTCTCATGGCGGTGAAGGGGAAGATCCTATTTCTTTACGGGGGTGTTTATGAGGAAGGAGACAAACAGGTACAGTGTAGTGACCTTTTTGAGGGCCTGCATGGGGGGGTTGTGATTATGAATTACGTAAAATTTTCGCTGCCGATTACAAATTACATTAAAGTCTCAGAGCTCATTACGACTTTACGCTTTGCAGCTTATGTACTATTACGAATTACATTGATTTTTGGGGAGGCAGCCTACGGATTACAAAGATTAAAATGGCCTGATTACACCTCACAAAAAGGGCATGCAGGCCCCCCTTTTTTCTTTGTACACTGTCTAAATTTGAATCATGTTGATCAAGTTAACGACATTCACACAACACACCACTTTTGTCCTTCAGAACCCCTGTGAAATCTACTTTCTTCCCAGGTGACCTTGAATGACCTGTATGCCCTTGACCTTCACAAGATGGATGAGTGGAGGGCGCTGGTGACCTCTAACCCCCAGGACCAGGAGTGGCTGGAGGAAAGCTCCAGTGATGATGATGATGATGATGATGATGACTCCCACCTGGGAGCTACAGGAGGAAAGAACACTGGCAGTGCGTCAGGTATCGTTATTCTGACTTTTCCATCAATTTATTCAATCAAACAAAATCGTACAAAAGCAGGAAATGCTAAATGCACTCCTGAATTATGTATTCGATTTTTACAATAATTTTTTGTTTAAGAAAACAAAACAGGACAAGTACACAGAAGCACACAGTACACACTATATACAAATATGTACAAACACCATTCAATCTACAACAGAAAATAGCAGACATGGGTTTTCAAATATCAACCATTATCACTGTCATTGTAGAGTCCTACTGCACAATGTAAAAAAGACTTTTTCAAGCGTAGAGTCCTAGCTTTAGGCAAAGTGAACTTCCAGTAACAAGAAGCCATAGGCGACAATTCTCCGTGAAGTATTATATATTGCAACAAAAAGAAGTAGCCATTGGCGACAATTCTCTGTGAAGAAAATAAATCGAACAAAGAAAAATTGTTTAAACGCGCGTCGGCTCAGTCATCTTAAGTCGCAACAACCAATCAGAGATGCGAAATGCCGACACGTGACGCGGGATTT